CATTGTGTATTGTCTTTGTAGTTGTTGTTTGGAGTACAGTATATAACTGTGAAATCTTATCCAACTGATATTAGCACAAAACTTTCAAGGAGCTGAGAGAAGCTAGCTGTATAACTATCTTAGGTATAGGTATATTTTTCCCTTTTCCATTTATTCCTTTCCCCTTTCCCCATCACAGTTTCTCTTTTCTTTTGAACAATTTTGCCCTACTGACAATATCTGTTGTATGTTTTCATCATAGTTATCTTTCAGTTTATCACACTAGTGAGACAATACAATGTTCACTTATATTGGTATTATTAATTTGTTATGAGTCTGGTCTTGAGTTTAATCTATTTATCTATGAGTTCTGAAGCCACTTAGACTACAGGCATCTGACTTGTTAGGTGTGCAAGATGAGCCTGGAGGTATAGGTGTTTCCCCATGCAGTTTGTGTGGAATGTCCAGGGCCTGCCCAGAGATGGGCAATGTGAGAAACTCTTGCTGCTTCTTTCTGACCTATCTGAAGATAAAGAATCCTGAAGTTGACCTGCAAGTCTTTATTTAATCTTTCAAAATCAACCATTTCCTACTTTAGGACCGTGGGTTGGACGTGGGCTAGCTGATGCTCAGTGTCTTTCTTGTGGGATTCTGTTGTTGCACTCAGATGTCTTACCATGGCCTGAGATGGAAGATGTTCGATGGACACAACTGTTACCCAAAATCATGTGGCTGTAGCACCTTTCATACCTATCTATATCTCAAAGAGGCAGTTGTTTCTCAGAGCCCTGCTTCCCAAAACATTTTTAACTTGACTTTTCAGTGAAAAATTACCAGATAACTAACACACAAATGAAAGTAAAGATTTCCATTTCTTGGGCAAGGGATATTGCTTAACGGCATAGCCCTTGCCTGGCAAGTACAAGGTCCTGAGTGCAATTCCTTGTTAAAAAAAAAAAAAAAGAAAAAGAAAAGAAAAGAAAGAAAGAAACAAAAATTAGGTTTCCATTTCTTCTACAAAAAATTGTTGTTTTTAAAAATGTTTTATTTTTAAAAGGATAAAATAGAATAATCTCAATCAAAGCAAACCAATGCAAGAGATACAGGACTTCAAAACATTATGAAATCAACACTAGTAACCATAATGCCTTTTGATGTCTTCAAAATAGCTGCAGATAACTTTAGACAAGTAAAAATCAAACAGAACAGAATAGGATAGAAATAATAAAAGTATAATAAAGGATTTCAAAACAAGCCAATAGTAAATCTAAAATTGCTACCATAATATTTCTTGCCATCCTTGAATTAGCTTCTCCTGCCACTGGATTTAACATAACCAAACCAAACAAAATAGAATAAAACCTAACCCAACAACAACAACAAAAAAAAAACAGAAACAACAAAGACGATAGGGAGTCAACAATAACTACATCCTTCAGAAAAAGACTCCACCCACCCTATGCCACACCGTGCACCACTATCCTCTGAACCTATGATCAGTTCACTGGTCCTAGATCTGCAAGGTCAGTGAAACACCAAAGCACCACAGACATCCAATTGCAGGTCACCTGGATAGCTATCATCACAGCCTGTGTTTCTCTGGATAAGCTGGTCACTTATGGGGGAGGGGACTGATACTTTTTGTTTCCCTGCCAGCAGGATGCGCATGGCACTGATTCCCAGACTGGGATTGTTTATTTCATGCAGCGTTGTTCTCTCTCCCCACAGTCTGCAAATGCTGTGCTGACTCATGGGGAGGTCGGGGTCTAGCTGTTCCCAGTCCAAAAATATTATTTTAATTCACTAATTTTTGCCTACCAGGATTCTCATTAGTCTCTCACTGCTTTCTGTGACTTCCAGTTTCTATGATCAGATTGTCCTTCTCGGTCAAGTGTATGGTAGGTGTGAGTGACATAATGAAACACAAATCACACCAAGTGAGTTCGTCTCTGTCAAAGTTGCCCTGGTATGCACTTACTGGTCCCAACAACATTGCTATCCTTCACAACACCAGCCCTTGGGCATTTTTAGAGAGGCTGCATTGTTTTTTCCAAAGACTACTCCAAATTGGTCAGTGTGTCCCACAAGCACAGCCAGGCACTGACATACATTAGTTATTCACTAAATGCTGGTGCATAGGAGTGAATAAAAAAGGAAAGGAATAAGGTAGGGAGGTGAGAAGGAGACAGTCGTGTCCGTCTCAAACCCTCTTCACTTGTCCCCACTCGGGGTACTCCTGAATCTTCCCAAGACTCCTGAAGCTTCCTACTTATTGTAGAGGACTATGACAGGGATCCAGATCAACTCAAAAAGCACCCAGAGGGAGATAAAGTCAAAATCACAGGGTTCTAGCTCAGCTTGTAGTCATTCCACTCCTGTGGTAGTGGTGGGGTTTCATCACCGCCATGTGGAGGCTTAGGGACAACATAGGGAACCCCATAGCTGAGCCTCCAAAGCCCGACAGAATAGAGGTGCTTTGATTGTAGGATAGAGTTCTCCTGGAAATCCACATACCCATGTCAGGTACCACAGGGACTTTCCAGGTCCTACCCTTTCTCCAGTATCCAGCTGTTGCATCTACAAAGAGAAGCCTACAGACCTCTATAAGCTCAGGACTAGCAGTGTCAAAAGGGATCTGCCCAAAGCCTCCATCCCAAGCATCAAGCATCTAACCTAGAACTGAGTTCCAAGATCATAGCTCAGTGCCATCAAGACCCAGCAAGGCAGGCAAACACACAGGGCATACATTCTGGTCCTGTGGTTTTCTGCATATTCGCCTCTGCCATAGGGACAGGCTGGTATCCATAGGCATGAGGAGGATGCTTGAGTGTTATCTCATACTCTCCAGCCTCCTGTGCTGAGGACCTGGAGAGAGGCCAGCAGAGCCTGAGGGATAGGGAAAGATTCTAATTAGGGATGGTCTTTGATTTTGTCCAGGGGTGGTATATCAGAGGATCATATAATCTTTGGCTTCATTTTCACTGATAGCCAGGATCCATGCTCCTCCCCTGGGTCTAGCTAGATGCCTTTAAATTATTGTACTACAATAGGATTGATGCTGTGTCAGAGTCCAGAAATAAAAGGGCAGCAGTTTCCACTTCCCATCTCTTGGAACCGTCTCTTGGAACCGTCTCTGGAAGCCTTGAGCCACCAGGTAAGAATCCAGCTCCTTTGCTCACAGTTCCAGACAGGTGAGGAGCCTAGTCAGGACCAGTCCTCCAGAATCTTCTAGAACCTTCTGGGGCCTCCCATACAACCCTCCTAAAGGACATACATGGATGAGGAGGAGTCTTAGATTGTCCAAAATGACCCAGTCATCAGCTAGATGCCAATTACCCTAGCTGTCACCAGGCATAGCAACTCTAAAACCCTGAGATATGAGAATCTGGTCACTGATTTAAGCCACTAAGTGTGGGATCTTTGTCAGGCAACAGAGACATGGAACACTCACTGTTATCTGCAATTTGGATGTAGGCACACCTGAGCACCCCATGTTTTGGCCAGCTGTGTTAGCCCTGTTGCCTTCATCAGCCATTAAGTGGCCAGAATGGACTCTCTCATGGGACTTCAGTGACAGTGACATGAGCTACAGCTTCTCCTCAAAAAGCAAGAACTGTGAAATGCCCCCTTCAGGAAGAGGCCCCTTTGCTCTCATAAGTGATCTCAGTGACACTATCAAGTAGCAGACTCAGAGCATGGCCACAATGGAGCACAGTTTTCAAGAGGAGCTGTCTGCTGTCAGCTGGCTCTGGATGCCTGAAGTGATGATGGTTTGTGAACTGTGAGTTTAGATCAAAGTCTTCTTTCAGGAGGAGACTCACAGACTTACCCAGTTCCTAGGAAATAGGTGCCTGGAACAGAGAGGCTGGCCTGTGTGTGGAAGGACACAATGACAAGGGCAGCGCTGTTTCTCATGTTGCCTGTACTGCCTTCATACACACATTTTTTCTGCAAATAGGATGTTAGTGAATAGGAGGACATGGACTTTTCTCCTGGATAGGTCAAAGGATTGGATCAGGTATTACAATTTTTTGAAGACTCAGGAAGGGTTAGTGAAAACAGACCCCAACTGTTTTTTAAGATGGAAAGGTTTAACAGGCAGAAGTAGATATGAACCCAGGTGAAACCTTGGAATCTGGCCACGTCTCCAAGAGGGATGGGATGCTGGGGAGGAGGGTAAGATGGAATCTTCTGGACAGGGCTGGTCCACTGAGTCAAAATGGTGCAAATACTCATGGGTGGGATTGTACAGAGTAAAATCCTGATGAAGTTAAAAAGAAAGACATAGATTAGATCAGACTATAGAGATAAAGGTAAGAGGAGCCCCAGAAAAGAGAATGCAAAGAACAAAAGACAAAAAGTTCTAAATAGAAAACCTCTTCTCATTTTCCAGATCAGTAGAAGTTGTTCTAAAGGAGTAACTGTCTGGGCTTAAAATAATCCCTTTAGGGGCCAAGGATTTAGCTGCCAAGTACAAGGTCATGAGTTCAATCCCAGGCACAAAAAAAAAAAAAAAAAAGAAAAGTAATCCCTTTAGTTCCAAGGTAGACAGAAGGCCACAAGGCACCCCTCAGTGTCTCTGGCTTGAGGAAGGATTAAGGTGAGCCCATGGCCTAACTATCTGATGCAGTAGTTAAGCAGAACAGACATCTGACCCAGGAGAACAGTCATACTTGTCCTTAGGAGAACAGTGGAAGAGAAAATGAGGGAAGACAAGTTTGTATCCAGTAGGCCCAGCGGCCTAAGGTCAGGTTACAGATCTGAGATAACAGAACTCCCGACAGCAACAAAACGACTTATTACTCTCATCCCTTATGGTCATTAAAAAAATCTGTGTGCAGACAGAGATAGGAAACTCTGTGGGGGACAGATCTCAAGAAGGGAAGAGGACTAGCACACTACCACACTCAGGTTTCAGCACCTAACCAACAAATAACCAGCTGCAAAAAAAAATTTACAGCACAGAATTGTCTCCATCCAGTCATCATGAATCCAGGAATCAGCTCCAAATGGAATAGAAAGCATGTTTTTATTGGGGAGGAGAGCAAGGAGAGCTGAGATGGGTCCAGAGACGGGGAGGTGCTGGAGGTCTTCCTCCCGTCAGATTCTTGCTGGTCGTTGCTGTTGCTAGGGCCAAGTAGGTCACAGGGGTCTCTGCTTGGAGCTGTTGTTAGGTCACAAGTAGTAAGGAGAAAGATTGTGCTTAGAACTGGGCCATAGACAGGGTACAAATCCCAAGGTACAGTTTGGAGCACCATTATGTTGCCCTCACCCAGACCCGTGATTGTGTTTACGTGTGATCAGAACAGGCTGTATAGAGGTGACTCCCCTAAATTGGCTTTCATTTTAATTAGTGCATCTGACCCAGGCTGTATACTTATGTTCATAAAGGCATGCGGCTAACAATGCACAAGCATTGTTTGTCATCAACATCTGTGGTTGAGCTCAGATACATACGACTGGGGCTATAACATCTCCAGTGAGCCTACATGACTCCAGAAGAAAACTCCTTCCCAGAATTGGCTAGCAAACAGCTTATTCATTAATCATAACCCAAATCTGGCTATGTCTGTCTCGTCTATAGTCCTCACAACTTGACCAGCTCATCCAGTGGCAATCTCTTCACCATTTTCTCAGTGAATAAATACCAAGATTCTGGGTGCATCTTGGCCTTTGTTCCCGGCAAACAACTAGTTATCTCAGATACCTGCTGCATCCTTATTTTTGTCTCTTGCTCATTACTGCTGCCATATGCCATGACTTCAGGTAGGAGTCTCTGATAGTACACACCAGAGTCTCTGATAGTACAGCTTATATGGAAGGAACATTTTGCCTCCACAGGGAGGGGAGAATGATTTTAGTCTTCACAGGTTTTACATTTATTGAATGCAGGAAAGAAAACATCCTTTGCAGAGTGAGTCCAGGACAATTAAAAGTACCAAGAAAAGTGTACTCTACAAGGTGAGGTTGAACACTGTGAAAGAGACAACACAGTTACCAGTCCCTCTTGGAGAGCTTACCAGCGGCATCATGTGCATTGTCCTCTTACGCTGATGTCAGGTCTGGGCTGTCCTATCAAAAACTTGCTCAAGTTCTTATGAAGAATTGAAGACAAGATTGCCTGAGTAGTTCCTGTATTTTTAAAGAGTGTAAAAGTGTAAGTACAATTTAAGACTGCTTCAAAGCCCCAAGGGGTTAATATAGTTACACCAGGTGGTAGGGTCAAAACCAGTAGAGTAAGAAAATATGGATAAAGCCAAATGGATACAGCTAGGTTCTTAATAAGAGTGAATAAGGTTAAATGGAAGTTGGGTTAATCAGAGACATACGAATTCAAGGTGACCACAGGCTCACTTCTCTTTTGAACACTGAATTCCCCATTCAAAAGGATTCTGATGCTCTGTCCCCAAAGAACAGGACCTGTGACTTCACATGGCAGGAAACAGAAAAGCCAAAATGATCAGTTCCCTCCATTGTGGTCTTTCTAAGTGCTCCATCCTCAGGACATCACCATCTCATGAGCCCCATTGTTATGATGACCTCAAAGTTTGATTCTAGATAGGACAGAACATTGAAACCATAGCAACCAAAGAAGCCTAAGACGTAGCCCTGTCCTGGAAGCGGATATCAGCAGACTTCCTGTAGTATCCACGTAGATAAACGGATGCATTGCCCTGTCTTGTATATGAACACCAGCAGACTTACATTAGGAATTGTGTAGATGAAGAGGTGCATCACCCTATGTGACACATCAGCAGACTTACCTGAGGATCCTCGTGAATGAACAGATGCATTGGGAAAGAGGAGCTCAGCTCCCATTCCCTCTCTCAGCATGCTCCAGTTCAGGAAACTTCACAGTCAATTATCTGGAATCTCTAGACCACCACATTATTAGGGCTTGGAGAAAGGGTTGTGTAAGGTCAAGGTCTTATGGCAAGTAGGTTAGGACAAGAGACTGAGACCATCTGAATAAGGTTCAATGGTTAACATTAGGTCAATTGTATGAAAATAAAAAGCTAAATGGATGAGGCCAGTCCATTGAGGTAACATAGGACCAGTGTGCATGAGCCAAGTGATGAAGAATGTGATGCAAAGAACTGGGAGCTTAGACTATGTGGGCAGGAACAGGATAGTCGGGCCACAGAAGATAGCAAGATTAGTGACTGGGTAATTGAGGACAGAAGGTTACTAAAGACAAAAGGTAAAGTGACTAAGACCAAGAGACTTAGGCAAGCTAACTAAAATTAGGTGGTTAACATCAGTTGCTAAGGGCAAAAATTCAAAAGAGGAGTTAGAAGTAACTGAGGATGGGAATGTCAGGTGAGAATCTAGGTTCAAGGGGGAAAGAGAAAGTGGCAGATGGGATAGGGATGGGAGAGACAGGGGTGAGGTTGATAACGTGGAAAACGTCAGAAAGAGGATGTAGACCCAATGCAGTATCCCAGAAATGCTATGAGATCAGGCTGAAAATGGTGGTTTGTATAGCCAACACATGCAGCCAGGACTGTCAGGCAATTCCACGTGGCTAAGGCAGGAGGCTTTATGGTGTGTCATGGTGAAGCTTTCCATATCCCAGGAATCTATACAAGGAGAGCAACTGCCTAGGGTCATGTGTGAAGCCATGGGACAAGGTCAGTGCAAACAAGAAAATGCTTAAAGAGGTAGATAAGAATTCTGAGAGCAGCATGTGCAGGGAGAATTCTTACAGGGAACAATAGAGCAGTGTGTACAGTGGAGCCTCATGTACTCTACACTAGGAGGCAGTAGTGTGTGGACAGTTCAAGCTATGGTTCTGACTTGAAGAAAATCAGAAAAGAAGAATGACCTAGCAGAAAAAAATGTGTTTGACTGTGAAAGCTTAAACTATGATGCCAACTGAGGACCAATTGGACCCAGGAATGCATGGACACGGGGAGCTGAGGGCATGACTTTAGGAACAAAGATAAAAGGGGAAACTCTGGCAAGACCTGACCTGGTTCATCAAATGTGAATTACTTAGCCACAAAGATGTAAACTGGGTGACCCCCGGTCCTATCTGTCACATTCGTTTGTCCGTCCATAAGTCAGTCCATAAGTCAGTTGGTCGGTTGGTCGTCCACCTCCCTCCAAGAGGCGGCCTCAGATTAGATGTGGCTACACGATGAATTTAAGCATATTAGTCAGCAGAGGAAAACTAACAAGGATTCCCTCTGGCAAGTGAACACAGAAGAGCCCAGCGCCGAATCCCCACCCCGCGGTGGGGCGCAGGAAATGTAGTGAACAGAAGACGCACTCCCCCGCGATGCTAGTGGGTGGCCCAAGTCCTTCTGACAGAGAGCCAACCCAAGGAAGATGTCAGGACGAGAGCGGCCTGGCCACCGGGTCCGGGTGCGGTGGCGTGCGGTCCTGCCCAGCACCCTCAGTGTGTCCCGAGGCCCCGCCCCCCCCCGTGGGAATTGGCTCCTGAGAGGGGCAGCAGGCTATGGCTGGTCACCGGCAGGCTGCGCTGAGGTGGCGGGCGGCCTCTCTGTCATCATCGCTTGGTCCCGAGCGTGCTGCTCCCCCCACATTGCCTTTTGGCAGGGGGTGGTTGGTTCAAGCCAGGTGTCCCTCCGGCTCCGTGTCCTCCTGGCTCACCCCATCTCAGGCCTCCCACATCGCCCTTGTCTACTCCTCATCTCCATCAGCTCCCCCTCCACCTCCACCGACGTGGGGCGTGTTCCCCCGGCCGGCTCTCTCCTCCTTCGCTGCTCCCTCCGACTTCCTGCTCCCACTCCTCCACCTCCTCCTCTGGCTTGCCTCCTTCCCACCCCCCTAGCCTCCCACCCCCCCCCCGCTCCTCTCGCTCTCCCCCATCCCCCCTTTTTGAAGGGGGAGGCATGGGGTCTGGAGGACGAGGGAGGAAAAGGGGCGCGCGGGGGGGGGGGTGTTGGCTTAGCCCGGCTGGTTGATGGGTGGGGAGGTCGGGTAGGTGGCATTGGTGGCCTTGTCAGAGGTGTAAGGGGAGTCTCAGTGTCGCGGTTTTCCACGCCGTGACGCGTGGCGTCGTGTTGGGGGCAGGTTGGGACTGGGGAAGGCGGGCTGCGGTGCCCGAAACCCTGTGGGTGGGTGTCATTCCGTGTGCCGTGGCCTCTCCTGCGCCCTCCTCGGGGCTCAAGCCTTGCAGGGTGCAGCGTCGGCGCCGCAACATCCCGGCTCTGCCTCTCTCCCCACCAGCCACACCTTCTCTCTCCATTGGGTTTACCAGCACTCCTGGGCAAGACAACGAGACGATGAGGACGTCGGCGATAACGGTGACCTCCAGTCCCCTGGATCTCGTTTTTTCGTCTGCCCGTCCATCAGTGGGTCTATCAATGGGTCGTCCCCCTCCCTCTGAGACGCGAGCTCAGATCAGATGTAGTGACCCGCTGAATTTAAGCATATTAGTCAGCAGAGGAAAAGAAACTAACAAGGATTCCCTCAGTAATGGCAAGTGACCAGGGAAGACCCCAGCGCCGAATCCCCGCCCCGCGGTGGGGGCGGGAAATGTGGCGTACGGAAGACTCACTCCCCGGCACTGCTCGTGGGTGGCCCAAGTCCTTCTGATAGAGGCCCAGCCCATGGATGGTGCCAGGCCAGTAGCACCCCAGCGCGCTGGGTCTGGGTCTTCGCAGAGTCGGGTTGCTTGAGAATGCAGCCCAAAGTGTGTGGTAAACTCCATCTAAGGCTAAATACCTACATGAGACTGATAGTCCACATGTACCTAAAAGAACTTTGAAGAGAGAGTTCAAGAGGGTGTGAAACCCTTAAGAGGTAAATGGGTGAGGTCAGCGCAGTCTACCTGGAGGAGTCAACCCGCTGGTGTCCTTTGGCCGTGCTGGCATTCTCCTTGCCAAACTTTCCAGCACCCCGTTCCGCCAGACCTCTTCACCCTTCGGTCCTCCCCCTGGTGCCGCCCCTCCTCCTGTCCTCCAGGAGGGGGGTGCGTTCTGGCGGGTGCAGGGGCGGGCCTGTGGGGCGAGGGTGAGGCCGGCGGGGGACAACCCCCCTGCAAGTGACCGGCTGCCACTGGACGCATTTCCACCGAGGCAGTGTGCCACGACCAGCTCAGGGATGACTAGGAAGGGCCAGCAGGGAAGGTGGCTTGGGGAGGGGGGTCCCCACACCCACCTCATTCTCATGGCGTAGGGCGAGGGACACCCCCCCCCCCGTAGCAGCTCTCCTCCCTGTGGCCTCTGGGGCCTTGTCTGCTGGGTCAGCGTCCTTTTGGGGCATGCGTGGGAGCTAAGGGGGGGAGCAGGGCAGTTGGCTGGCTAGCTGGCCGCCCCCCCCAGCTCCTCCTCCCCACCCCGCCGCGCCCCTCCCTGTCCAGTGAGACGGAAGACGGTGGGAGCCCCCCCACCGGCACCTGAGGGGTCCTTCCTTCTCTCCTGTGCCTCCTCTGCACGTGAAAACGCACTCTCGTGACCCCCTCAGTTTCTCCTGTTGTCTGTTTCTTCTTGCTGGCCGGCCTGAGGTGACCCAATCCACCTCTTGCTTGCGGGGAAGTGTCGCGCCAGCTTCCCGCTGCTTGTAGGGGAGACTCTCCGCCCCTCGCCCATCTGAAAAAAAAAGCAAACGCTCACATATGACTCTTAGCGGTGCATCACTTGGCTCCTGGGTCAATGAAGAACGCAGCTAGCTGCGAGGATTAAATTGATTCTTTGCAGGACACATTGATCATCGATGCTTTGAACATACTTGTAGCCCCAGGTTCCTCCCAAGGCTACCGCAGTCTGAGCGTTGCTTGCCGAGCAATCGCGTCTCCGGGTGGTCCCCAGGGGTAGCGCGTTTGGGGGTTCCGCTGCATTGCCCGGGGTTGGTGTGCCCTCGGTACACGCAAGTGCAGAGCCAGTCGGTGCGCGCCTGCCTCGCCTCACTGGCCCCGAGCTCGCCCCCACTCTTGTCCGTCTGCATGCGCGTGGGGGCTGGGAGTGGGGCACGTCGTGTGGTAGGGTGTCGCTGTCGCCCGCACTTTCGAGGGAGCGGTATTCAGAAGAGAAGGGGCGAGCAAGAGTGGCGTGCCCCAGGTGTTGGGTGTCAGGGAGCTCTGCGGTCCCGGGTGGGGTCACTGCTCATGGTGAGGGAGGAAAGGGGGTTTGCTTTGGCTTAGCACGGCTTGTTGGTGAGGGGGGAGGTCGGGTGGGTGGCGTCGGTGATATTGTCGGAGGTGTTGGGGGAGTCTAGATGTCTCAGTCTTCTGCCCGGGTGGCGCTTGCGGTCGTGTTGGGGGCAGGTCGGAAATGGGGAAGGCGGGCCGTGGTGCCCGGAACTGTGAGGGCGGGCATCATCGGGTGTGCCTTGATGTCTCCAGCGTCCTCCTCGGGGTTCGTGCCGTGCACTGTGCTGCACCACGTCGCCTCGTCCCCACTCCGCCCCTCTCTCCTCAGGCCGCCTCCTCTCTCTTGGTTGGGTTTTCTGGCTCTCCTGAGTGAAACGAAGGGGACAACAAGGAGGACGACGATGAGGACCGCAATGGCGGTGACCTCCAGTCCCGTCTGTCTCGTTTGTTTGTCGGTTGGTCAGTCAGTCGGTCGGTGGTCCCCCTCCCTCCGAGGTGCTACCTCAGATCAGATGTGGTGACCCCTGAATTTAAGCATATTAGTCAGCAGAGGAAAAGAAACTAACAAGGATTCCCTCAGTAAAGAATAGTGAACAGGGAAGAGCCCAGCGCCAAATCCCCGCCCCGCGGTGGCGCGTGGGAAATGGGTACGGAAGACCCACTTTCCGGAGCCGCTCACAGGGGGCCCAAGTCCTTCTGATCAAGGCCACGCCCGTGGACGCTATGAGGCCAGTGGTGACACCCCGGCGCGCCAGGCCCCAGTCTTCCCCGAGTCGGGTTTCTTGGGCATGCAGTCCCAAGCCCGTGGTAAACTCCATCTAAGGCTAAATACCCGCAACAGACCGACAGTCAACAGGGACCCTAAGGGAAAGTTGAAAGTACTTTGAGGAGAGATTTCA